ATATATATATATATATATATATATATATATATGTATATATGACTCCACTGTGTGGAAGGTCCCTGATCAGAAGTCCACCAAAAAATATGAGTTACTGGCTTCTGAGTAAAAAAACTCATAAGTAATAAAACTCGATTCCTGGTTTCCCACTAGTCTACATGCCAAATATCCTTGGCCAAGATACTAAACTTTGGAGGGGGCAGGGATAGCTCAGTATGTGGAGTGATCGGAAGATCGGGGGTTCGAATCCACAGAACGGTTACCCTGAGGTACCCCTGAGCAAGGTACCGTCCCTACACACCGATCCCCGGTGCGCCTGCTTATTGGCTCCCCACTGCTTCACTGGGTGAATGGGTCAAATTCAGAGAGAGTAATTTTACCACGGGGGTCAAAAAAGTATACATTATTATTATTATTACTGCAGATGGAAATAAATCTTTTGCTGTTGTTAACTCTTCTCAATTCAAGACTAATTTGACCCATTCTGATTATTTTCAGCCCCATATTTTTACTTTTACTCACCTTTGCATGTTTCATGGCTGAAAATAATCTTCCAAAATTATTCTGCCTTTAAGGCAATTCCCTTAACCCTCTCAGGCTCAAATTAAGTTTTTGTTGCTAATGCACAAAAGAATACCTGCAGTGGTACTTCTGAGTAAAAAAACTTATAAAATATGTATGTGGGGTAATCAGGTTGTTAGCTTTTAACTGTTGCAAATCTGCAAAGCCTGCCTTGAGAGGGTTAAGCTAAAGCTAAAGCTAACGCTACTGCTTTCTGAAATTATCCATCAATCAAAACTAAACCTTGGTTCTAATCAGACCTTGAATCTTGGCCTGCTTGTACAGCAGTACCAGACGATCTGTTTCAGGTGGAGGCGCCTCAGCAGGCTCCACGGTTGGATCAAACAGGGGCAGCATCATGGCTGCCAGGTCCTGGCCCACTTCCTTGGAGTTAAAGTTGGCATGTGTCCACTCATCTATGTAGTAACGGCGGGAGAATTTGGTGAGAGGCCCGGCAGCCCAAATGGACGAATTGGTGGTTCTGAAGCTGGAGTTTATGACAAGCCTGCCATCAAATACCAGGAAGGACTTGTTGAAGCTGTTGAAGGCGTCATAGTCGACTCCTTTATTGGAGAGGTTGATGAACACCTGAAAGGACAAAAAGAGCCATCGAGTTTCGAGGTGGAATCTTTATTGGATTCACACTTTACACGATCCAACATCTACCTGATGTTTTTACCTTTCTTCTTTTATGTATATATATCTGATAAATATGAGCTACAGACGGGGAACAAACTGGGGGCAAGTCTTTGTAAGAACAGAGGAGTCGACCCCTGCTGGACACTACAAAGAATGCAGGTTAAAAGCCACAGCTTCACTTTGAAGCACACCCATTTTTTAACATATTCAGTCTGTGCTTGAAATTAAACTTCCCAAATTAAGATGATAAATATAAGATGGCTCTTGAGTGGTGAGGCTTTCAGGAAACTAAATACTGACACAGAAGATTATTCATCCTGAAGTCCACAAGCTGCTCAGAGTCAAGAGGCCTGAGTGATGAAGCTGCGATGACAAACCCACGATAAAACAAACCCATAATATGTTCTTTGAAAAAACAAAACTCTGGAGGTGGAATAAAATTGTCATTTATTAAACTTATAGGTACTTTGGGGTTTTGCATTCATTGTTTTCCTAAATACTTGTGTGTCTGTCTTCCACAGCATGTGAAATACACACAGACTAATGACAACAGGGCCTTGCACACAGCAGAATTTTAACAAGAAAATTCAACACAAACCCAGAAGCAGAATCATCTTCTTTCTGAGACAATGGAAGTCATGGAAATGGGAAACACACCAACATCATTTTGTGCTTGACAAACACAGTTTGCTTCCAGGAGGGAAATTAACATCCAACCAAGAGCCACAATCTGGAGAATTCAGCCGCTCAAGCTTTTCCAGCTCTACCAGGCACCTTGGCCAGTAACCCACCATTGTTTGGATATGATTTCTTTTTGTAAGAATTAATAACCCGTCTGGATGAGCACTGAAAGCATCCGGTGGATTTTGAAAGCATCAGAAATTCTGACTTACTCCACACTGCAGATGGAGAGGCTCTGCATCAGTGGTAAACGATGCCGATGTGAGCGGGTCGGGTTGTTTGCCATTGTTAAACTGGGCCAGCACACAGTTACGGTGGATCTGGACCATGGCGTTCTCCATGGCCATCGCCGCGGCTTTTTCTACAGATGAGTCCAAGAAGCTGGAGACGCCTGGCACAGGAGGCAAGAGGACAAGATGGATACGAGATCCACGAATGCCGAGGCTCAGCAGAGTCTCTACGGTGGTGTAGATGTCGATGTTGTTTCCGTAGACGATGGCGTTATCTGAGAAGACGCAAAGAAGGAAAGGTTTCATAGTGAGAGTTCACTCACAAACTCCTATGTCAGGTTTGGCAGAAAAGAGAATTCCTCTTAAAAAACATACATAAACATTCATTGTTTATGTGAGGTGGTTAATGGTTAAAAGTTACTGGTTAAAGTTACTAAGCCGCATGATACACCTGCATAAATATGAGTACTTGGCCTGTTTCCCTACGTGAACTTTGGACGGCTTCAAGACAGTCAGGTCGGGATGTTTTTATCACATGTAGCACACAGGAGGAAATAACCAACTTCACAAATACTCACATGATGCAGTAAAAGCACCAAAATATTGGTCAGTATTTTTATTGAAAACTGTGTGAGTCAATCCAAAGTGCAAAAAGGACCAACAGAGAAGGCAGTGCAAACGACTGCAAGAGAAACACAAAACATGATGATGACCAAATCATGAAAATCACATAAAAGAAAAATATAATGAACTGATAATATAAAAATAACAAAATAAACAAACACAGAATTAGAGAAAAATAAAAGAATAAAACAAAAATCATTGTTGAAATGTTGACAGTGGACTTGGGCATGAAGTGGACTTCACTTAGACGGCAATAACAGTAACAGAAGAAGCCCGATCAACTTCTATTTCTATGCAAGAGGTTGGACTTGGAGGAAGAATATGATGTTAACATATTGTGGAGCAGATCTACGGCAGGCTTTAAAAACAAACAGGGATAAACAACTGAGAGGTTATAAAAATATGGAAAACTTTTTCTATGTCCTTAAACTGTCTCAGCGATGGTTTAAACGATAAAAAGCTGCTCTTCACGACATGACAGACCTCACTGTTAAAAGGCAAGAAACTATCCATAAAACACACACTAGCTGCTTTATTCACACTCAGCAAAATGTTACCTACAAAGTTTTATATTACTGCAACATTTATTGAGAGCTTATAGTGGAGCACAGTTGTTACCTTCCACTCTGAAATCGGTGAAAAATCAGCCGCTGTCCCTTCATTAATGAGAGACATGAAACGTGATGCATGAGAGGACTCAGATCCAAACAAAAAACTGCAGTAACAGCTTTCTGAAAACAAAAAATGAATTTACATGCATTTTTCTCCATTTAGGAGCTCTTGTATGTTTTTCTGATTGTGAGCACAACAGATGTTATTGTCCAAAGATACAATACAAATAATCTCTCTTTTTCAAACCAATGTTTTCCAGTCTACAGACAATAGCTCAGTCTGCTCAGGTTTTACAAACGGCCTTGGAAACGAAGGGAAAAGCTACACATTGTTCTACAAGAGGCCCTCGGCTTGCTGAACTCTGAACCACAGATACACAAGGACAAATGAGAGCATCTGAATGAGTTTTCCTTGTACTTCAGCTCCTCGTGCTTTGCTGTTTGTAATGGACAGCACCTCGACCGCAGGACCTTCATTCCAAAGGTCCGACAGACAAAGAGAGCACAAACTGAAATTTTATATGTGCGTGAATTCATGGCAACTCACGTAAACAGAGTATTCCTAGTTATACTAAAACTAAGCTAACAGTGAAAAATCCTTTCATTAAAATAACAATACAATTGTTTTGAAAAGAGAGAACATGTGCTTACAAAAGATTTTTTTTGGGGGGGGGTGGGGGGGCATTTATATGATTATCTTTAATTTGCAAATATGTTTTTGCAAATGTAACAAATAAATAACAGATCAAAACAACTGCCTGCTGTCCAGTGAGCCTGTGACTGTGTGGATGGACTCAAGCTAAGCTAAGACCTCTCAGAGAGTGGACCTGACCAGTGAATTATGTGATATGGAAATACAACCTTAGAAGGCATCGAGTTAACCGATGCCTTCCAAATCATGTTCAGTTGAATACTCTTACAGTTTTTGTTCCTGTTTCATGCAGGTCACCGGTGAAAATATAATTTAATTACAGAGGTTACATTTTTTTTAAAAAGGGAGCAAAAGTAACAAGTAACAGCCCTGATGTGTGAAAAAAGGCTGGAAATACAAAAAACCTGAACTACAGCAAACCATAAAAGCACTTTGATCAATAAATATTGGTCATAATCTTGACTTACATCTCGATAAAATCAGATTTTATTACAGAAGCGTGATGTTTTGCGTTCAGCTCTGGCTTTACCAGCCAATTGCTGAAAAATCAAAGCTTATCAGCAGGTTATGGCGTGAAATAAAAAACACAATGTTAATTAACATTTACATGATCTGTGTGACTTGTCAGTTTTGTTGATGGTTTCAGTGAACGGTGGAATGATGCGTCAGTATGAATTATGGGATGTTATTATCTCCTTTCCTGTCATGAAAGATGGTTCAGCTGCAGGAGGTAATAAAGGAAGCACAGAAGCACCTTTCCTTAGTAATAACAGAATTCAAACAGCTCTTATTGTGGCTGCCACACCTCTGGGTCACTTCACTCAGTCAGGAACCTTCCAAAGGCTATTCAACTGCACCTGGACTGTGAAGAAAAACAGCTAATGCTACTGTGTGTTATCTGAGGTAGCTTTTTTTTTCCATCATCTCTCTCTGTTATTAAACCAAAGTAAGGTCACATTGACCCAGCGGTCTTAGCTAATTATAGGCCAGTCTACTCTTGAAAGAGTAGTTGTAAAGCTCTACCTGAAACCTGACTGAAACTCTTTAAATAAGCCATTCCTCTGCAGAAGATCAGAGCTCATCACAGTACAGAAACAGCTTTAGTCAACGTTACAATCTTCTTATGGCCTCTGACAGTGGACTCATATCTTTGCTTGTCCTGCTAGACCTTCGTAGCGTTCGATACTATTGACCATAATATCCTATTAGAACGATTATAGCATGCTGTAGGTATTACAGGTATTGCACTGCAGTGGTTTGTATATCTATCTTATAGATCCCAATTTGTTCATGTAAATGGAGAGTCCTCTTCACACACT